GAGAAATCGCCCCGCCATCCCACAGTGGGTCTGCCAGAATCCTTGACGCGTTTTGAGCTCCAGAGTCGCTAAATGGGACTCGAAGCGACCGTGTCACTCCACCAATGGATTGCTCTCCGAACGAGGAATCCATTGGTGGGGTCACACGTTCGGTTCGAGTCCCATTTAGCGACTCTGGAGCGTCTTGAGTTTTGGTCACCGACTGTGCATCCTGGCCCGCCAAGGCGCCTAGGGTGACCCCGCGCCACTTGGCCGTGCTCCGCGGTGCTCCAAACGCATTATGGAAGGAAGCGGCTCGTCATATCGCAGTGGAGTCTCGCGGTTCACGAATCGAGAAGGCGCAGCCCGCGCAGCCCGCGCGGCGTTTAGCGGCCGAGCGAAAAAAGGAGGCTAAGTGCGGAGGCTGCAGGGGCCGCGCCTCAGGCCGCGCTGGAACGGCGCTGTCTCTCTCGCACCCAGGCGGGGCGCCCCGTGAGTGCGACAGAGATAGAGCGACGATGTCTAGTTCGGGAGCGTCGCGCTGCGCCGCGCTGCGGGGCGCCTCTGGCACGTTCCAGGCGCTTCCAGGCGCTTCCAGGCGCTTCCAGGCGCTTCCAGGCGCTTCCAGGACGAGCCCAGGGCCCTGCCTGTTCGTCTCCAGGGCGACCTTCGCGGTCAACCTTCTCCTCGCCTTTCCAAAAACCAACACGCCCGGACGAAACAAGTTCCGGATTGGCGGGACTCGAACGCCGGTCCTCGGGGTTCGTAGTCGACGCGCTTACGATCTCGGCTGCCGGGCCGCCCAACCTGTCGACGCTTCCGCGAGTGACTGACCTTCGGCCCGGGATGCACACCGTGCAGTGCGCACACGGGGCGACCGAAAGGAGGTCGCTCGTGATGGAGTCTCCTCTGCCCGGCTGTGGGATGCGGCGGTTCGTCGCCCTGTCTCTCTCGCACCCGTCCGATGGTACGACCGCCCCGTGAGTCCCGCGAGGGCGACAGAGACAGGGCGCACAGTGGGCCAGAAGACCGGTGGAGGCGGAAATAACTCTGGACGCGTTTTGAGCTCCAGAGTAGCTAAATGGGACACGAACCGAACGTGTGACCCCACCAATGGATTGCTCATTGAACGAGGAATCCATTGGTGGGGTCACACGTTCGGTTCGAGTCCCGTTTAGCGACTCTGGAGCTCAAAACGCGTCTAGAGTTTTGTCCGCCTCCACCGGTCTTCTGGCCCACTGTGGGGTGCCTGCCGCGGCATGGCGGCCCAAGAGTGAGTTGCGTCACGCCGGGGTGGCTGGCTGAGCTAGTCAAAGCCAGGCGAAGCCAGCCAAAGGCATACAGCCACGGATTCAATGGCGCACACTGGTAAAAACTAAATATCGCAACCGCGGCCCTACAAAACCGAACACGCGGCGGTCCGGCGCGAAGGTCGGAATACTAACAGAATGGAAAAGTGGCGTAGGGTTGGACACGACGCAGTTTTAATTCAACGCAGAGCCCGATAGTGGAGGCCGTTGCATTGTGTTTGTCTGTGTGTGTTTGTGTGTGTGTGTGTGTGTGTGGTGAAAAATAAGAGGTAATGGTCGTGACCTATCTGGCCGTATGACGGAGTGCTTGTAGTGTAGTTGCGTGAAAAGTGGCGCCAAACCGAAGAAAGGGAAGGCGCCACCTTAACAGGCTTCACGGCTCCGCGGCGCAAGGCGCTGACTTTGCGATTACCGCCACCTTGGACGGCCAGAACGACGGCGCTTGCCTTTTGCCTCATCAGTCATTAGGCGCAGGTGGCGTAGTTGGTAAGGATTCGGATTTCTGAGTTGAAGGTCCGGCGTTCGAACACTCGCTCCACGCGTTTCTTTTTTCTCTTCCCTCCTCCTTTTTCTTCTTCTTCTTCTTCTTCTTCTTCTTCTTCTTCTTCTTCCTCTTCTTCTTCTTTCTCTTTTTTCTTCTTCTTCTCTTCTCTCTCTCTCTCTCTCTCTCCTCTCTCTCCCCTCTCTCCTCCTCCCCCTCTCTCTCTCCCCCTCTCTCTCTCTCTCTCTCTCTCTCTCTCTCTCCTTTGAAGAGAATCCCCACGCTAGAGCGGGATTTCGGCCGGACGAACGCGGACGAGCGCCTTAAGCGAAGCGCCTTGACCTCCCCTTCTCCCGTGCGTTCAAGTTCCCCGGCTCACATTTAAATGGCATCGGTCCCACTCGCACACACAGCGTTCCTCGGGGGCCTTGGACCGGTGTGGGATGAGAAGGGCCCTGGTTCGACTCCCCTTCACTGCCCACGGACGCCTTTTTCCTCTGCGGTTCGCCAGCCACTCCAACGGTCACACATTTTGTCTGTCGTCTGCTTCCCTGCTGATGCGACCTTTGGCGGTTTTGCTACTAAGTGACGTTGAGAAACCTGTGCGGTGCGCATTGGACAGAGGGACGGCGGGACAGACAGACAGACAGACAGACAGACAGACAGACGCAGACAACGAAAACAGACAACAGACAGCGACAGCAGACAGACAGACGACAGACAGGCAGACAAAAGACAGACAGACAGACAGACGCAGACAGACAGACAGACAGACAGACAGACGGACAGACAGAAAACAATTAAATTTCAATTAAATTCAATTCGTATTTTATTAAGAAAAACTTAAACAAGGCACTTACAGATAGAAACTTTAAAATAGTAATCATAAACTGCCTAAAACTAAAAAAAGACAACCCCTAAGCATGACTGCTTGTCAGGGGTGGATTTGCTGTCTTTCTGTCATAAAAATCAATAAAAACAAACAAAAAAAAATCTTTTACAAACAAAAAATCTTTTACAACTTAAACTCCACCTTTTTTTGTTATTTAGTTTTTTCAATTGTTTGCACTTAAAAATATTGTTTTAATTTTGTTTTCATGGCACTTTGACTTTGTATATTCCTTAAATCTACTGGCATCTTATTTAGTATTTTTGGCACGACCACCTCTGTCAGTCTATCACCATACTTATTCATACCTATCTTATATTGGAAACTCTCATTTCTCGTTAAGTACCTATGTTGCGCTATATTTCAAAAATCTTTTTTAAAAATAATTTTTTTTTAAAAATTTTTAAATTTTGTACAAATTTTCTAATTTTAAAAATATTATTTGGTAATGGAACTCTTTGCTTTTTCTTCACAATCTTTACAGCTCTCTGCTGTAATGATTTAATGGGGAGCAGGTTTGTATCCGAGGCAGATCCCCACACTTCAAGCCCATAACTCATGACTGATTCAAAGAGGGCTGTATAAGCCATGTTTACTATGTTATGTGGGGAGCAGTTACTTAATTGTGATAATTTATACAGGCAACCCCTCAACTTCCCTCTTAGCATTTTAACATGGCTTTTCCAGTTTAGATGTTTATCAACTATCAACCCTAAATACTTCACCGACTCCACCATTTCAATATTCATTTTGCAGGTGCAATTTACAATATTACTGTGTATACACTCAATAGAATGAAATCTTAAGTTAAGATCTCTTCTTGCAATATAAGGAGTGGATATATGCATTACTTTAGTCTTTGTTCCATTCATTATGAGATTCTTATCATGACACCATTTTTGGTACTCAGTAAACTCCTCCTGCAGTCTTGCCTCAGCTATATCTAAGTTTTTGTGCACAGAGATTATCACAGTATCATCTGCATACACAAAATTTTACATTTTTTAAAACACCGTTTTAGATCGTTTATATAAATCAAGTACAGCAGGGGACCAAGAAAACTGCCTTGTGGTACACCATACTTAAGTTTTACACAGCAGCTATCAACTCCTGCCACACTTACCTTACACATTCTGTTTTCCAGATAACTTTTAAACAGTTTGTACGCTCCTCCTCTCACACCAATATTTTCTAAGCTTTTCAAAAATTTTTCATGACTAATGGAATCAAAAGCCTTAGACAAATCCACAAACATTACAACAACATGCATACCTTTGTCCAAGGACTCATTTACTATGTCAGAGAAATTTTGTAACAGATCAATGGTACTCTTTCCCTTCTGATAGGCATATTGGTGTTCATCAATCACTTTGTACTTTTTGAGGTATGAGAATAAATGTGTATACATATACAGCTCAATTGCCTTGCTTATAGTTGATAAAATGGAGACTGGTCTATAATTACTATATTCACGGGGTGATCCAGCTTTATAAATAGGCCTGATTGTGGCAATTTTGATTTCATCGCAGAAAATTCCTTTTTTTATTGAGTTATTGATTATGTTTTGTAATATTGGAGCAACTAGTTCGACATTGTCACTTAGGTGTGATACCTTAATTCCATCATCACCAGGAGATTTTTTTTTTAAAGTAAGAATAATTTTTATCACATCCTCTATTGTTGCTTCTGGTAAAAAGAAAGAGTTGGTTATTTTGTCAGTTGCATTCTTCAGCAAGAGTGTCGGACATTCATGCATAATACACTCAACCTGATCTTTGAAAGTGTTGACAAAGTTATTGGCAACCGTTTCTATTTCTAAGATACCCGCAAAATTTTTTGTAATTATGTTGTCAATATTTTCACTCATTTTGTTATTTAATACAGAGTTTACCAGTTTCCAAGTAGCCTTAATATCATTTTTACATTTTTCAAATTGCTCCTCCATATATCTTTCCTTGCTTCTTTTTAAAAGAATAAAATTTTTTTATTTCTGAGACCCTGATAAACTTGTCTCAGCTCCAGTCTCTTTAAGTAGCTTTCTTTCGAGGACACTTTCCATCTTTTGAAGGCTTTATCTCTCTCATGCATTAAGCGAACAATCTCATCAGTTATCCAAGGTTTTCTAACATGTCCATTTACTTTTCTTTCCTTCATTTTAACCCTTATAGTAGCAGACGAAAATGCTTCTCTAAGTTCTAAATAATTTTCACTTGGACTTTCCGTCATATTGTTTTTGACACTATTTAAGTTTTCCTTCCACCTCTTTTTTACAAGTATGTTTTTCATTTTGTTTTCACTTTTTCCATCTTCCTCACATTTTTTTTATTGTTCTGAAAGAGAGCAGAGCTCCTATCATATAGTGATCACTAATTTTACATTTTATTATGGCAGGATACACATTCTTATAATTAACACTTACCGCAATATGATCAATACAGGTTTCACTTAAATGGTTTCCAGCATATTCCTCTCTGGTACATTTGTTAATACAGTGCCTGATTTTATTACTTAATAACATATCTATATAATCACTTGTGATTTTACCTTCCTGCAGAATATTAATATTTATGTCTCCTATTATTACAGTATTTTTCCACTTTTCCGCTTGAAGTAGATCATCTATTTCATCCACAAAGTCCGCTGTCTTACCATAGGGGGGTCTATACACAGCCAATATTGTTGCTTGTCGGCCTCTCCCATCACATACTTCCACACAAATTCCCTCAAAATTTTTCGGGGTTATACTGATTTGTCTAGAAGAGAGAGTGTCTCTTACAAACACCGATAGACCACCACCTTCACAATTACTTCTGATAGCATTTATACTGCTAAAGTGATGTAGCACATACTTTTCAAAACTACTTCTTATTCTAGTCTCACTAAGAACTATGATATCTATCTGTTCCAATACTTTATCCAGTAGTATACATAGTTGATCCCAGTACTTATGAATCGTTCTTATGTTTAAATGTACAATGCACAAATCACCCTCCGTCTCCTTTTCACCTATCCATTCTTCACATGTTGAAACTTCTAAAACATCATTAATATTCCAATCGTCCAAAACAAAGTCCGTGTTCATAGCCATTTTATTTTTCCAATTGTATCACACAAGTGCTACACCAAGGAGACAAATTACCTTATAGCTTCAAGGTTTTCCTCCGTCACAATCTTCACAACTGGAGAATTTTCACCTTTCCTAGCAAACAGTTTTCCATTTTTGATCCAAACAAATTTCCAGTTATGTCTATTTGCTAATTGTTTGGCTCTGTACTTGAGATACCCAATTTTCGGCGAAACTTGCTCCATGATGAATACCTTGCCACCCTCACCAGAGTAGATCACATCGTTGAACACTTCCTTTTGCTTCTTTTTTCTCAGTATTTCTTCCCTGATCTTGCGTGACCGCAGTTCCACCACTATTGGTTTTGGGACCCCAGGGCGTTGCGTAGGAATTCTGTGAGCTGCTTCGATGTCAGTCTTCTCAATGTGTACATCGAGATGCTCACACACTCTGCACACAATGTCCTCCACTTTTTCACCATTTTTTTCAATCACACCTGATAACACAATGTTCCTGTTTCTGGAGTGGTTTTCTAGATCTTGGATTCTCTCTTCCTGCCTCAAAATTATTTCATCCTTCTCGGCGCACTTGTTCAACAGATCACTCACTTCATTTTTCATTGACTTCACCTCCTGGACTAACTCCAAGATCTGCTTTTTCATGTCCTCATACTCCAGACTCACAAATTGTTGCCCTTTAATGCTTTCATTCAGATCGTTTTTCATTTCCAAGACGATGTTCTTGAGCTCAAGTATGGTAGCCGCTGTCAGGTCTTGCTCGCCAGCACTCAAACTCAGGTTTCTCTTGTCACTTGAACCACTCTTGTTGTCTGCTTTACAGCCGCTGCATTTCCAGGCCATCTTTCTGTTCATGCCCATCGACTTGTATGATGACTCCGTGATGCCAGCACATTTATGATGTAAATCACTGCCACAGCCGTGACAGCGTACATTCGCTCCGTCAGCAGAAGCCTCTTGTTTACAAATAGGGCAGGTGCTAGCCATATTCACTTTCGTTATCCACACGACGAGACACTATGTTCAGTTTGGCGCCAGATTCACATTCACTTTCACGAAGGCACACCTAACCCCTACAGGTGGCGTCCAGCCGGCGCACTTGTTGCTTTTGGACCAAAAACTTCAAAGTACGATTTGCTACCAATGTCACACGTACTATCAGTTCCACTCTACTCGTCCACCACAAGTTGGAGCCACTCCTTCTCCCACCATCCACAAAAAGCCAGTTTCAAGATTCAGTCTTTCGCGCGCGCGTCCACTTCGTCACAGACAGACAGACAGACAGACAGACAGACAGACAGGCAGACAGAAAGCAGACAGACGACAGACAGACAGACAGACAGACAGACAGGCAGACAGACAGCATACAGACAGACAGACAGACGAGGGAGAGTGATATGCCACCGGGTCGCGTCCACGCGGTGGGCGTCGAGAAAATCCGCGAATGTCGTTGCGACAAGGCGGTGCCCGGCCCCGCAGCCCAAGGGACCCCTCACGCGCGGACCAGACGTTCTGAAATCCCGGCAGAAATTACGGCCGAATAAGCCCTGGGGCAGAAATGGATTACGTCATGCCGATTGTGTTGGCCGTCGAAAAGCAAAAGCAGAAAGCCGCTCTGCCAACCACACACGGTTGTCTCCGCGTTGCCAACCTGCCGAAGTGAACAATGGGACGCCAACCAAGCCAATCCGGGGCACGTTGTAAACACGACGAAAAGTGCCGCAGCAATCGGATTCGAGTGCCCGACCACCCACATAAGTAGGCGAAAACTCCCACGATGCATACCAGTGTCGAAAGGGCAGCACAGTGGGCCAGAAGACCGCTGGGCCCCAAAACCTATACCGTTGAAAGGGGGGTTTTCCAAGGGGCCCCAAAGGGGGTCGAACCGGGCCGTTGGACCCCCGGATCCCCTCCAACGGGGAAAAACCCCCAACGGTGGGGTCAACGTCCCCGGTTCGGGTCCTGTTTAGGGGTCCCTAAACAAAGTCTGATTTTGTTTAAAAGGGTTTTTTTGGGGGCCCTGGGGCTGCAGCCAACCTTCTCCCCGCTCCTACTTTCGAAGCGAATATTTCCTAAATTCAAATGGCCCTAGTGAATTCTCTTCAACATCCCCTGTATAATTTTGAGCTCAAAATTCCAAAAACTTTCGATTTACAGCCACTTCATTTCGGGACCCCCGTAGAGGATCCGCTTAGGCATGGGATCCGGTAAGGCTTAGACGATCTGGCAAGGCCAAAGCGGATCCGGCCAGGCAACAGCGGATCCGGTAAGGCCAAAGCGGATCCGATAGCCAAAGCGGATCCGACGGGCCAAGCGGACCGATAGGGCCAAGCGGATCATAGGGCGCAACGGATCCATAGGCGCAAGCGGATCCGTATGGCAAAGCGGATCCGTATGCCAAAGCGGATCCGATATGGCCAAAGCGGATCCGATATGCCAAAGCGGATCCGAGGGCCAACGGATCCGTGAAATCTAGAGGATCCTCAAAATCTTAGGATCGCATATCTTAGTGATCCACAGTGGCCAGTGAAGACCGGTGTGGCGGCGGCCAAAACTCTATACGCGTTTTGAGCTCCTAAGTCGCTAAATGGGACTCGAACCGAACGTGTGACCCCACCAATGGATTGCTCTCCGAACGAGGAATCCAACGGTGGGGTCACACGTTCGGTTCGAGTCCTGTTTAGCGTCTCTGGAGCTCGAAACGCGTCTAGAGTTTTGGCCGCCTCCACCGGTCTTCTGGCCCACTGTGGGCGTGGGCAGCCAACCTTCCCTCAGCCTGCCTACCTTCTCGACAGCGAAGTCATTGCCTAGTGGGCAGGCTGAGGTTGGCAGCCCTTGCCCTGGTGCATCATCGAAATTCCCGCCCATTAGTGGCGGCACTGACCACTCGCGAAAAAAAATAAGGGAAATCGAACGGAACTCCGGTATGGATGGACTGCGGCGCCGCTTTTTCTGCCGCGTGCTCGCGGCGCCGCGCCGTGCTGCCGGTCCGGAGTGTTATTGTGTGTCGCTTTCGAGAGCGGCGTGATGCGGTATGTCGGTCACGCGTGTGGGCATGGGGCGGCATGGGGTCACGGCCGTGCCTTGCAGTGGCGTGGCTTTGCAGTGGGGATGCAGGGTCGGGGGCCACGGGGGCCACACCGGGGCCACTGCGCGGAGAAAGCAAGCCGGCGACACTGACCGCAGGGCACCACAGGGCACCTCGCAGTGTATCGCACAGTGTTTTGCTGTCTCTCTCGCACTCATGAGGCGATCCGCGGACGGTTCGGCACACGACGTCGCCATCGAGTGCGGCCGTCTGACCACGCGGCGCTTTCGCTGCTGGGTAAATCTGAAATTCGAGAATTGTTGCTTGGAGTCCCAAGCGGTGCACAGTGGGCCAGAAGACCGATGGAGGTGGACAAAACTCTAGACGCGTTTTGAGCTCCAGAGTCGCTGAATGGGACTCGGACCGAACGTGTGACCCCACCAATGGATTGCTCTCCGAACGAGGAGTCCATTGGTGGGGTCACAGGTTCGGTTCGAGTCCCATTTAGCGACTCTGGAGCTCAAAACGCGTCTAGAGTTTTGTCCGCTTCCACCGGTCTTCTGGCCCACTGTGCGGCGTGGATCGAACTTATTGAAATGACGCCCTCCCATTCGAATCCCCGCCACCTGCACTCTTCGCACGACGGCGTGGTGCATCTTCCAAATGATGTATCGCTGACGTGAAAGGTGAAAGGACTCCCCCCTCCCTCTTGCCCTGCCGTACAAAGACCCCGTGTTCTCTCCCCCCCTTCCACTTTTCAATCAGCAGGCCATTATTTTACTCTAAAATGCATGTCTCGGACAAGCAATAAAGTTCCTTTTTTTTTTTTTATATTTTTTTTTTGGTGCTACGGTACATTGAGCGGGGGCTCGGAATCTTATCGGGATAAAACTCGTGCGAAAAAAAGAACAATACCCTCTAAAATTGACTCAACAAACGTTTAGGAGGCTGGTAGTTGCGGTTTCATGAACAGGTCAAACCGGTGTTTTTTATTTTATTTTCCCCCTTAATTTTGCCGTCTCCCACGGTTCGAACGCGCGCGGCGCCACAAACTTGCCAGCATATGCAAAATGTGACTTGCGTTACCGCATAGCCACGGTGGCTCTGCCGCTCTGCCCCTCGGATAGCATCAGGGCTTACTTCACCTTCACTGTGAGGAGAGAGAAAAAAAAACAACGACAAAAACAAAAACAAGCACGGAGTGCCCTCCGTACTCCGTGCGATTCCCGCTTGCTTCGGACAATCGCAAGGAGTGTCTTGTTTTATTGAGATTCTTTTCCGCGCTTCTTCTTTTTCTTCTTCTTCTTCTTCTTCTTCTTCTTCTTCTTCTTCTTCTTCTTCTTCTTCTTCTTCTTCTTCTTCTTCTTCTTCTTCTTCTTCTTCTTGGAACTCCTGGAAACCTCAGCTTATTTCCGAAATCACTAAGATGAAAACAAATTTAAGTCGCTCCCTGTGTCGTTCCATGAGGATCGAAAGGATAGAAAGGATCGGAAGGATCGAAAGGATAGAAAGGATCGGAAGGATCGAAAGGATAGAAAGGATAGAAAGGATAGAAAGGATAGAAAGGATAGAAAGGATAGAAAGGGTAGAAAGGATATAAAGGGTATCGAGAGGATCAGGAGGATCGAAAGGATTGAGGGGATCAAAAGGATCGGGAGGATCGATGCGCCCAGCCCGGAGGCCCGGACCGTCGTCTGCCCAAGGTTCGTAGGTCGTGGGAACCCGAGTCGGCCATGATGCAACTACTTGTGCATGGCCCGGCCGGCCCGGCCTAGACTCTAGCCTAGCCCAGCATGGCTCCCCCGGCAGATGGTGCCCTGTCCAGCGTGACTCCAATATGGCCCCGTGCCGGCGCGGCCCGTCCCGGACCAGCCTAGACCAAGCAGCGGTACATTCATTTGTAACATTAACCGCCTAGCCTAACGGCCCGTCCTTCGCTTTAAACATTTTTTTTTCCAAAGGACCTCTGGCTCTTTGAGGATAGCAGTGAAACCATCCCGCTCTCCACCGGCGCACTGCTATGTACTCGCCGGCTCAAGTTCTTTACAAACAAACAAAAAAAACCGCACCGCGCTTCCCGGGGTGAGGCTCAGTGACACGCCGCGTTTAAATAATCACTTTTCTCTTTTTTGCGCGTATGTGTTGCTGTTGATGTTGTTGTTGTTGTTTGTCAGCGCGAGCCGCTCGCACCTTCACTCCATAACTGTTTTTAATTGCGGTTTGAGCGATGCTTTGCGCAGCGCGGAGCAGCGTACCCGTCGTAAAATAGACAACGGTTTTTCCTGTCCTCCAGTGTGGTCAACGCTCTCTGTGTGCGTGTGTGCGTGTGTGTCTTAATTTCGGCGGCGCAGCGTTAGAACAATGGTTTACGACGACGCTAGCATGCCTGGAAGTACGGTCGAATGGTATGTGTGCAGATTCCAGCCCTTGGGATTAACAACGTTGAATTAGAGCGTCAAAAAAACAAAAAAAACACACAGTTTCAACTAGCTTTCTGACACCTAAACTATTATTTCTGTTTCGTTTACGAGTGTGTGAAATGTATCACCTGCTAAAAGAATGTTGGCATTTTCTCGTTTTCTCTCCCTTGTTTGAAAGGATTAATCTTGGCCGGGTAGTGAGCCCACCCGTGCGCCTGACCTGACCCGACTCTCCCATCCCACGTGTCCGCTAATAAACTCGCTCTCCGTCTCTCTCGCACCCGTTGGGGCCTCGGCGACGCCCCGCGGCACGCCCCGTGAGTGCGAGAGAGAGAGAGCGAGGTCGCTGGCCGAGACTGCCGCGGCAAAGTGTCGTTGCCAAACATGTCAATGGATTAGATTGGGATTAGTTTCGCTAATCAATTTTTCCCCTCTGTCTGCCTGTCTGTCTGTCTGTCTGTCTGTGTGACTGTCTGTCTGTCTGTCTGTCTGTCTGTCTGTCTGTCTGTCTGTCTGTCTGTCTGTCTGTCTGTCAGTCTGTCGCTGGTCCCGCGGCCCCGGGGGACGGATCGAAGTCTGCAAAGCGCGCACACACACTCGCGAAATGTGTGTAAAGGTCACCTGTGTTGTCGCGAGTGTGTGTAGAGGTCACACGCACACGCAGACAGGTGTGTTGAAGGCGCTGTAATGCCAATGCGAATGTGTTGCCAATCAAAAAGGGCGCCCTTGGCCGGGGGGCCTGGCCAGCCTGGCCTGGGCTGTTGCGCGGACCGCAGCGAACCACGCGGCAGGGATCAGGTGCAATGCGTTGTCCGATCTGCATGGCCACTGTTAATTCACCACGTGTGTGTGTGTGTGCGCGCGCGCGCGTGTGTGTGTGTGTGTGTGTGTGTGTGTGTGTGTGGTGATGACGGTGAAAATGGCGACGGTGGACGCTGCGGACACCGTCCCCGTGGATCTGATCGGCCGCCACGTCCCCGTGTAGGATGCCGCGGTGCACTGCGCGCCGCCTTGCCCACGGACTCGGTCGGGGACTCGGTGTAGTCCGTGGGCATGCTGAATGAAGCAGTGAAAGTGGGGTCCATTCCGAGGCGAGCCGCGCGCGTGAGTGTGTGAGTGTGTGGCCGGACCCAGGGCCCTGGCCACGGACTAATCCAACGACGCTCTCCCCACTCCCCGCGGATTTACCGCTTTTCGGGAACGCCTACAGAGTAGCTACACGCACGAAGGCTGCAGGGCGGAGGTGCTAGTCGTGCCACCAGCCCGACCATGTTTTCGGCCTTTTCGGCGGCCAGGACGAGCGGGGAGGAAC